GAATGATAGATTGGAGTATCATGCATTGCATTGGCAAATTAGTCCAAGGGAGTGAAACCAAGGAACATTTTTAGCCATAAAGATCACCATACTCATGATTTGCTCAACATATTACAACTTGAGCAACATTTTCAGCTACAACTTGATTTTAACTTTACTGTCCTATCATTTATCAATTTTCACCAACCAGATAATTCCCAGACAACTACTTTCTCCCAACAATCACTTAAAAGAACCTCAATAACCAAGTATATAAATTAAATTCGCACTATTTCATATCCCACTGGAAGCATAAACAAATTCCTATTCAGTGATCATTTAAACAATTTCAAAATAACCCCAAAATTAACTGATTATCTACACCCACCTCCACATTAACCATACTTTTCAACAAAAATCAAACCAGAAAATACGTAAAAGGTACACCTAAAGTGTAAAAGGTATACCGAAGGTAACCACAACAAAAGCGCCAGCAGGAAGAACAAAGGAAGCAATTCCCTGAATCGGAGCAGCCGGGGCTTGCGCTTGAGACTGCTTATAAACTTTCCGAGAACTCCTGCTACCACTAGAAGAGGCTGCTGCTACAATGCTTGACCTTTTCAAATACAAGTACTTTGTGCTACTGTTTTTGTACAGAACGGAAAAAGGGAAAACTGAACCCATAAAACAGTAGCATAAAGAAGTATTCTTGGTACGGCCATTGCTAAAGAAATCAATTCTTTGTTTCTTATAAAAACTGAAATTATTCTGGGTAAAATGAAAAAGCAAACGCAGATTAATCAGAATTAAAAAAAAAAAGAAAAAAAGAAAAAGAATTATACTTGAGAACTTATTTTTATGTAATTTACATACCTTTGGGTGAGAATATTGAGGAAGTGTTGAAGTGGACAACATTTATCAGGTGGGTGGGTGAAATGCGGGCAGGGTTGAAGAAGCTGGAGTGATGCAGAGAAGGGGATAGAACGGCCACACTCGATAATGATGATGATTTTGTAAATGAACTATTGATGGAGTTTAGAATCGTATTGGGCTTCTTTGGAAGAACACACATTGGGCCTCGTGATATAGCCATTGTTTAAGAGCCCTTCTTTTTGTTAAAAATATATTTTAAAATAGTGATTTTTTT